TACTGGAAACGAGGCATTCCATCTTAGTCCTCACGGGTAACAACGCATCTGCATTTTGATTCTTAATCGAAGATGGATGTAGATGTCTATGGGCCACAGCACCACTTACCATCAGGTGGACTGTGTGCTCGTTTGTCACCCAAAATTTTAAAGATTTTACTAAAATAGCAGAAAATAAAAAATTATATCAAGCATTTCGGAACTTTTAACCGAGCAGCTTATTTTGTTTATTATATTATTTATCGCGTAAATCATGTTTTAATCATTTGTACGTACGTAGAGCCACTCTGCAGATAAATTATGGTTGTAGCATGAATGGGACGGCGCTTGCGTGGAAGGACGACACTCTCAGTATACTAGCGTAAAATAGCAGCTTAATGCTGCTGTTTCGAATGGTGAGTGTAGAGAACCAGAGACCCTTTTACTGGAAACGAGGCATTCCATCTTAGTCCTCACGGGTAACAACGCATCTGCATTTTGATTCTTAATCGAAGATGGATGTAGATGTCTATGGGCCACAGCACCACTTACCATCAGGTGGACTGTGTGCTCATTTGTCACCCAAAATTTTAAAGATTTTACTAAAATAGCAGAAAATAAAAAATTATATCAAGCATTTCGGAACTTTTAACCGAGCAGCTTATTTTGTTTATTATATTATTTATCGCGTAAATCATGTTTTAATCATTTGTACGTACGTAGAGCCACTCTGCAGATAAATTATGGTTGTAGCATGAATGGGACGGCGCTTGCGTGGAAGGACGACACTCACAGTATACTAGCGTAAAATAGCAGCTTAATGCTGCTGTTTCGAATGGTGAGTGTAGAGAACCAGAGACCCATTTACTGGAAACGAGGCCTTTCAATTTTATTCTCAGGTGCGATAACGCATTTACATTTTGATTCTACATCGAGGATAGATGTAGATGTCTATGGGCCATAACATTCAATTACTAGGTCGACTGTGTCATCATTTGTCACTCTTATATCATACCATAGATAAATAAATATGTAGCAAGCTATCTTATACTACAAAAATCTTTTACCTGAGTATATAAGTGTGCTATAAATACTTTTGGTGTACTTGAACTAATTGAAACCAAGTTAAAATAAATCTTGTAGCCTCTCGGTATAGGATACTGTGCGAATGAATCACATGACTTTCATTCCTTCCTGCGTTTTTCACCACGGGTCAACTAAATGGACGACGGGTCTGCCTTTGTTGTCCATATTCCATACATTCTAAGCAAATAGTTTACAATGTTGTAACAGCAGTAAGTAGTGGAAAAATTTGCCAGCGTCTATTTTTCCGTTCAATTATAATCCGGGTGTTTTGAAGATGAGAGTGAATAGATTTTTACAACGCTAAGACAGAACGTTTTAATAGAATCAGGGTTTATTTTGCGGAAATTTATTATATTGAAGTTGTTAGAACTTAATTTGCTTATTTCCGTGTAATGAAATAAAATTATGTGTTCCGGTTATAGGTACATACATGCCTAAATTGCGTGCACTATCGCCGTTACCACCAATCCAAGCACCAACAAGTGCTGGGAGTGGTGGTGATCATACATACATCATTTTATTTCATAACGCGGAAATAAGCAAATTAAGTTCTAACAACTTCGATACAGTGCGATTTACCATCTAGAGCTTCATCTCCGCTTACCAATAGGTGGTATTTATAGTCAAGCACTGGCTTATAATAAGCAAAAATTTAAAAAATTAATCAAGTTGTGATATACTTGCTAATAACAAAATAGAGTTGCAAAATTACTTTTATAAAATATAAAACTATCCATTGTATATTTTTATGGTATATTTTTTATATCGTATATTTTTATATAAAAATATCAATGGCGACAAAAGGATGAATGAATGAATGAATGAATATACTTTTATTGTACACCACGAACAAATATACCAAATGACCACAAAAAGCAGATTATATGAACAATTTGGCGGCCTTATCGCTACATAGCGATCTCTTCCAGGCAACCAAAGGTGTAAAGGAATAAAACAATGTATAGGTAGGTGGTGGTGCAATATAAATATACAACATATATCAATCAATACATACGACATATAGATAATAAATGCAATGAAATAACATATAAATAACTAATAGATGAAATAATATAAATTACTAATACATAATAAAAGATAAAGTAAAACATATAATATATACATATGCATACATATATATAAATATGTAAACAAACTTACACATCTGCCCAAAATACAAGAATCCTTCAAGTTATTCCGTTGGTATCTTAAGAGTCGACTAATGAATATGTTATGTGATTATATATGAACCAAAGTTGTTATACGTGAACCCTACTGTAATTGATTATCTAACGTAATCCCAAGAAATACGGGTTCTTCCATAAAATCCAGTTTTCATTTCAACAACATTGTGAATCTGTTAAACATTTTGCAATACAAATTTGACTTATATAAATTATGTAGCTCATATGGAAAACACATAGACGACGGTGAGCCGGGTCAAAAAGTATGATAAGGTCCAAGACGTATGATACTCCGATCACCGATTCACCTCTTATACTTGGCGATTGACCAAGAAACTCATCCCTAGCAGTATATTGATTACAGGCTGATGATAATTATGACTATAATAAGGAGGATTATTTGGATATTTTGAAAAGAAAGAGAAAAGGAAAGAAACTTTGTTCGCCGCTAAACATATTACACAGGCATAAAATATACTCTGAATGTGAAAGTAATATAAAATAAATAAATAACTTGATTGCAGCAAAAAAGGCCACTAGCTCAGCATTATGCTGTAATGTATGTGTATCATTACGCATATAAGCGCCACTAACAAGACCCAGGTACCTTACATTTTGGTACCGCGTACCGCGGTACCGCGCATTTTGAATATAAAAGATAAAATGACAGAATGTTTGAGATTTTTTTGAGTAATTTTTCTTCACCATTTGCCTATATCACTTATTTTGAACCTTCTCTGTAAATTTGGATTCCGATTATTGGAAAATTAACCTGTATTGGATATGAGGATGAATTAGAAAAACAAAAAAAGCTATTTTTATAGTAATTTTTTGCCATGCCATTGATTATGTTAAATTTGTATAAATTAATGTGAAAATATTGTGACGGTGTAAGAATATCCATTACCCCATATCGTCCCATGGGTTTTGTCCCAAGATGCGACAGCGGGAAACAAACCAAGAGATGGAAATTAGCGTTTGTGGAGGAAGCCTATGTTCAGCAATGGATTTGTGATGGAATGTTATGATGATGACGATGATGTTCTGCAATATTGATCGTTTCAAAAGTTATTTGAAGTATTGTCAAAGAACCGTGAAAAAGTGAGTGTAGAGAACCGGAGACCCTTATGACTGGAAACGATGCATTCCATCGTAGTCCACAGGGGTGACAATGCATCTGCATTTTGATTCATAATCGAAGATATATGTTTGATAAAAGTCTACTGGTGAACACAGGCCTCGCCTATAGATTGCTTCATAAGAGGGATTTTGGATTTTGGAACGTAGTCTTTATTATTTTTAGTTATTATTCGGAATATGCTATTGTCTATCTTCTGTTTCAGATTCTCTCTGTCACCTCTTACATGATCCAAGGAAGTTGTGAGGTAGTGGATATTTTTACACCGCCTTTACACGGTGGGGTTTTTCGTAACTCTTAATTTAGTTTACATTTGCGAGTATTTATTGCTCCAAAAAATCTTTTCATGTACTACTTGTTGCGCCAAAAAATATATATTCATGTACTTACGAAGAATTGTTCATAACACACGCCGTAAAGCAACTCAAAGTACATTATTAAAGTATATTACAATGTACGGGAATGCCTCAGAATAATGCTATGTGGGTTAAGCAGAGCTAATTTTTACGGGCCGGCTCACTGCAGGAAAGCCTTTAATTTTCCACAAAGAAGATTAAATGTGCATACAGAGATATTACTTTATGCCCACTTTTAGATTTAACGTAGGTATTAGTTGTTTTAGTTAAATGGTAAAAATATTTTAGGGTATTTGGTCTTTATTTTCTTTACTTCTCCTGTGTGTGTGCGCAGGCGCGCATGTGCGTGCTAGCTTGTGTGCGTGCGTGCGTTTTGTGCTTGTATGCGTGCGTGTGTGCGTGCGTGTGGAGGTGTATAGTGTATGCATCTATGCACACACTCATGTACATGAGAGCGTATGTGAGTGTGTGCATGTTGCGTGCAAGCGTGAGTGCACTGTTCGTTGCAATCGTTTTAAACCAATTTATTTTGACGATTAATAATATAATAATATCATTAATTAACTTTTTATTAAAATTGTTTCTGTAGTTTTTTTTAGCAAAAAGAAAAGAACTTAATAGTTGTCAGATGGGAAGTTGATAGTGAATGCAGTTTTTTTAGTCCATGGCCTATTTTTAAGGGATTAATTTACATCTTAACACCATACTCCTTAATTTATTATGTTTCAAATTAAATGCCAGCATGTTATCTATGCTATGTAAGAATGCCAGATCGGAAAAACAAAATATCTGGACAAAATTTGAAAATGTCGGGATTTTGGGGTTTGTGTCGGGAGAAATAAAATGTACCATATTATGTGGCTCATGGGACAGGGAATGGGTTAACATAACTAAGTTTTAGGCTGCCATATGTATTTGGCCTTTGACTTTACTGAGTTCACCAATTTGGATCTTTTAGTAATATTCAGAAAAGATTTACAGTTAAAACAATTTAGGTACTTCATAGTTCAGTCTAATTACTAACTCAGCTTTTATTAAATCAAAGGCATCTGTGATGTGAAGAGAAGCTGTTTGTCTGGACATTTTGAGTCATGTCGGGAGTCTGGAGATCATTTAAAATGTCGGGAGAATCCAGAAGAATCTCCACCATCTGGTAACCCTAATGCTATGTGACCACTTAATACAGTTTTCGTTTATTTTTATAATAGTTGGATATTTATTTTACGATTCGTAAGAAACTTATCATTAGAAACTCACCCTGTTAAAGCCTGCTTCCAAATATGGTAGAACCGCGAAGTCATCTTTGAGATACGCACTGCAATAAATGAAAATATGTTAATTAATTCATATTTAACTACCTGTGTATGCCCCTTTTTTGTTGAAAACTTTCGCGGGCACACACACTACCTCACCATAGTTTCATCGTAATCTCATGAATTGTAAAGGAATGCATAAAATACGTACATACAAACAAATAAATATTCATTTTTATATATTAAAATTATTACCAATATTTAAAAGTAGGCCTTTTTTTAAAAGATAAGCAAGCAACACAGTCCACCGAATTGTAAGTAGATGCTGTGGCCCATGGACTTCTTCGTCTATCCTCGATTAAGAATCTAATGCAGATGCGCTGTTATTACCCCTGAGGACTTAGAGGGAATATCTCGTTTCCAGTAAAAAGGGTCCCCGGTTCTCTATACTCACAATACAAAATATAGCAGTATAAAGCTGATTTTAGTAGTAGTATTTTGTGAGAGCTCGGTCCTTTCTAGTCGAGACGACCCATTCGTGCTACAACGATAATATAAGCTACATTAAGGCTCTACGAAGTATTAAAATCGATGTAAAACATTACAGGCAGATGCTTAGAAGCTCTAAATGTTGATATATAAAATTCTACACAATTATAATAATGTGCTGTACTCGAATTCAAAGGTGAGGTTGAACATTTCGATTGAAGAGGTGTTTCGTGGAATAAATTCTAAGGTAAAAATAATGAGGACATCGTGTGGAAAGTCCTAGCTCTTTAGAGCATCATTTCAAAAATGTATGTTATTATTCGTTATTTTGTGCTGAATTCTATTTAATGTTTTTACCAAAAAATATCTCTAATTTGCTATCCTTATCATATCTACAAAAGTATTTTTGAAGAAAAATTAATAATAATCACGAATATAGATTTAAGGGGCCGGTAAGTAAGATTTATTATACATATTTTCAATTCTATTTAATATTTATTAAGGAAAAAATTTCCAACGCCATCATTCAACTATAACATCTCAATTCATTCACAATTCATTCCTTGTTCTATCCCTCATCTGTCATTATGTTAAAACCCACTTTCACATAATAAAAGGACTTTCAGAATAGAACCACAAAATGTAATATTGTAAAGGTTTTTGAAATAGAAACGGACATCATGTTTATCGTGTACGAAAAGGTAACGTGTTTTGATGGACGCAAATATTGAGCTGAAAAACATTGCAGTAATTGATATTATAATATTTTTATTAAAAGTAAAGTGAATGTTCGTTCACATTGGATACAATGAAGTAAATATATTTTTTAAGCCCTCATCTTGCGAAAGCAAGATTTTTTTGCGGATGGAAAATCATCAAATGACGCCTTTCGCTCTGGGTGGAGCGGAAGGGAGTGTCAGACTTTTACTGACTAAAAACCATCCGTGTTCCTTCAGTGCCCTTACGTTCCGGAGCCGCGGTATCTCTTTCGAACAGCCCGCAGCCCCGGCAGGCGTCGGCCCTTACGGGCCCCTTCACGCTGCTGACAGCTCTTTGAGGGGCGCGTGGAACAAAACGCGCCGTCGACACGGCCTGTCGTCGTTAGACGGACGGACGGCGAGCTACCCATTGCTCGCCGTCCACAGGCCCGCGCCTACGGTGTCCGGGGGCCACGACGTAGCCGCCGACGCCCGGGGCGTCTCCCGCGGCGGCCGGGAAGAAAAGCTGCTGCTCTCTCCTTCTCCCGTTCCGCCACCTCCTTCGCTAGCATCACTGCTTCGCAGAAGGTGGTGACGGCATCCCATTCCGTCTCGCTCCGGACCATGGCTTCGACCAGGGCCGGACGCGAGAGGTCGCCGCCGCCTATCGCCGCTACGAGGACACGGCGGTGCTCCGCCCAGGCAGGGCACACCTCCACGGTGTGCTCCACCGTGTCCTCCGGTCGATACTCGCAGTGGGAGCACCCGGGCGTTTCCTCCCGCCCGATTCGGTGCAGGAACCTCCCGAACACACCGTGTCCGGTGAGGACCTGCGTCAGGCGGAAGGTGAGAACGCCGTGGCGTCTCTCAAGCCAGTCCTCAAAGAGGGGTCTTATCGCCGCTATAGTGGCGTGCCCAGCACGGGGTTGCGACAGTCGCTCTCTCCATGTCGCCATGAGAACATGCCGGAAGTCTGTCCGCTGCACGACAACTTGCCGCGGCAGCGGGGTTTCCCCCGGCATAGTGCCTCCGCGCGCCATTCGTGTAGGCGCGCGAGGACTATCGCCTCCAGATCCCATGGCGGCAATCCGGCAAGGAGGCACGCTGCCTCGCGGGAGATCGTGCGGTAGCCGCGAACCATTCTTACAGCAACCACCTTTTGGGGCGCGTTCAGGTGGTGGACGGCAAGCCGCGCCAAACCACGCGCCCACACCGGGGCCCCGTAAAGGGCCATGGACCGCACAATCCCCGCGTAGAGCCTCCGGCAGGAGGCGTTTGGCCCCCCCAGGTTCGGCAGGAGCCGCCTGAAGGCAGCCCCGGTCCGTTCCAGTTTGGGAGCCAAACGTCGGAAGTGCTCAACGAAGTTCCATCGGCCGTCGAGGACGAGTCCTAGGTACTTCAACGTCGACTCGACGCCGATGGATACCCCTCCTACCATCGCTGAGGATCCCGGTGGTGGCCTGTTCCGAGGACCATGGAAGTGCATGGCCTCGGACTTGTGCAGAGCCACCTCAAGACCCAGCTGCCGGATCCTCTCAACGACTATCGCAACCCCGCGTGTCATATTTTCCGCCGCCGCCTCGTACGACCCCCCCTGTGCCAGTACCAGCGTGTCGTCAGCGTAGCAAACTACGCTGACGCCGGTAGGGAGGTCGGCGCGCAGCACCCAGTCGTAACCGATGTTCCACAGGGGCGGCCCCAGAACCGAACCCTGTGGGACACCGCACGACATGCGAAAGCTTGCCCTGTTGCTCGTATTTTTAATTTAATATAATTTAAATAATAGAGTATTTACTTACGGTATGGGTTACGTGTGTATTGGCTGCGGAGTCCTTAATGCAAACCTAAACCCTAGCTTGAATGATAATTTGTATAGAAATTTTTGTTATTTTCCGGTCTGGGTGTGATTTGATAGAACGTTTATGATGTAACACGTATAATATATTATGTCATGCACCATTAATAACCTCGAGAGTATTCCGCACTTGTAACCGTAATTTAAATTATCCAAATTTACAACGGTTGTATCATGCATCACTCTTAGTATTTTCATGATATTGTTATTTATATTATCGAAGATTATATAATTTAAATTAGAGCCTGGGTAGATCAGGGTCAAAGCACTCGCTGTAAACACATTACGAGAAGAACGCTGGGTTGATTCCCTTCAACAACAGTGAAATTGCAACTTTATGTACTTACTGTATTACCACGGGCTCGGTGGTCAAGGAAAAATCTCTGAGTAATAAAATATTTCGAAGAGATATGAAGTCCGCAACACGCACTGTAACGCGCGGCGGAGAACTAATTGCTCCATAAACCTCTCAAAACAAGATATAATATATGCGCATAATGTATGGGCTGCACCTTTTCTTTATTTTATTATATGTCTTTACAGCCTGTCGAAAGTCCAACATAGATTGCCTCATATTTACCATAATTGCCATGCTTTGCGGGCGGGTTAGCAACCACAGTTTTTTTTATTATTTTGAGTCGTGTCAGAAGTATGCTGTCGCCTAGATCTATGTTTCCATATCCATCTCCTGTTTTGTTTCCTTTGTCGCCTCTTACGAGAGAAACCGAATGATATATGGTAGTTGATTAGATACTATTATTTAGAGATAAAGCGATCCACAACTCCATATCGCTCGTTTGTAATTTTAATAAAAACATTTTCAGGATTGGTAGTGTCTAGTTGTTTTTTTTTTTTATTGAATAAGAGTGACAAACGAGCACACAGTCCACCTGAAGGTAAGAGGTTGCTGTGTCCCATAGACATCCACATCTATCTTCATTTGCGACTTAGAATGCAGATGCGTTGTCATCCGTGAGGAGTAAGATGCCTCTTCTCCAGTAAAAAGGGTCTCCGGTTCTCTACACTCACCATACGAAACACAGCAGCATTAAGCTGCTATTTTACGCTGGTAATCTGTGAGAGCGTGGTACTTCCCCGGTCGAGCCGACCCATTCATGCTACAACTATACTATTTTAATATATATGCAGCATGGCTCTATCACGTAAAAACTTGTGGATTTGGAATCTTTATATTATAAACATTAAGTGTCACATTGTTAATCCGCGATGAACTTCTAAACTACTGAACTGATTTCAATGAAATTTTGCACACTGTGTGGAGTTTAGTCCAAATTAAGAGATAGCATAATTTTTGTCCCGATAAGTGACCCTCAATATTTTTTATTCCAATTTTTATAGGACAGACATACGCCGCTGAGGGCAGAAGATAGTCCGCATGGCCAGCTAGTACATTATCTATACAAATAAATAAAATTGAAGTGTCTTTTTTAATGTTAAATTAACAGCTTTTTACTAAATGTATATGAAAGTATAAACGGTACTAATAATATAAAGACAATTTTCAACATTTTTGTCTGGCTGTCTATCTGTCTGTTTGTTCCGGCTAATCTCCGAAACGGCTGGACCGATTTTGACGAAACTTCCACTAGCAGATAGCTGATGTTATAAGGAGTAACTTAGGGTACTTTTATTTTGAACAAGAATCAGGGTTCCGTGCAAAAAAATTAAAACCCTTGAAATCGTAGTAAATTCCACGAGGACGAAGTCGCGAGGGACAGCTAGTAATATCATAAATATTAAGAATGATGCATGATATTACAATCACAGTTGTAATTTTGGATAATTCAAACTATGCTTATAAGTGCAGAATACAATAAAAGTTATTAATTACATATTATACGTGTGCCATCCTAAGGGTTCTATCAAAACACACCCAGACCCGAAAAACAACAACAATTTATGTGCAAATGATAATTGAGGTTTGGGTTTGCACTAAGAACTCCGCAGTCAATATACACGTAATCATTAAGCCATACCGTAAATACGTACATAGCTTAAG